ACCAGTGTGTGTCCCAGATATCCCAATGCCATGGTGGGGGAGCTGACAGAAAACGTCAGACTCGTCTGTCAGCACCAGAGGAAAACRCAGTGCAGTGTGTTTCTGTAATAGATTTTAATGTGGGTTTTCATAAAGTTGTCCTCACATGGAAGCTGCTTACTTATACAATTCCAAAAATGACTTATTTCCCTACTGATTTTTATTACCTGCCCTTACCATTCCTAAGGATCCAGCATATGCATATTCAGAGTAGCATGTCTTTTAATTTCTCTTTCTTACAGGGGTTACTGTAAATAGCCTCCCTCTGTTCCCAGTTAAAGACACCCAAAAACAAAGCACTTTCATCCCTTACCAGCAGCTTCTGTCCTTCCTGTCCATGCCCGGCCCGTTCCTTTTCAGCAGCCGAAATCACGCGGTTTTGCAGGGAGGCGGCGCACGGAGACCCCGCCGAGCTCTCGGGTCAGCACTGCAGCTATCGGGAAGACTTAGTGCCAGGGGATGGGGGTTCCCTTTCCCGCAGCGCCCGCCGTCACTGAGTCGGTCACTCACAAGGGAAGCTGTGATGAAGTTTTCAGACGTTTTCAAGGAGCTAAGCAGCTGGTGAAGCAGCGGCCCTTACCCGGCTAGGGGGAACTTGCCAGTGCAAGGAGAAGGAAATGTGCCCTGTTTTGTTCTTTTTGAGGATGCACGTGAGCACGGGCAGGATTTAGCACTTGTCCGAGGGGCAATAGCACGAGTTCCGCTTCAGGTCACAGAAGCTCAATTTCAAATAGTCAAATTTTCAAATTTACCTTTTCACACATAGTGGCAGAAAATCAATTATAGCCAACGTGGGCTTCATTCAAAAAGGGTAGATCAGAACTGAGTCCATCCCTGAAGTCAGAGAAACTTGAAGAAAAGGCATACTGATTTCTTAAACAGAGAACCATATTTCTGCCAGTGCTTGAAGCCATGCAGGCATTTCTTTACTGTGCAAGAAACTTTCTTGTTTATATAAATACATCTGTCAAGACACTTCCTCTCTAGGAAAATGAACTGTAACATGCAACACTCCTGCTAAAGTCCTGAGGAAGTTATGTGGGTCCTGGCCTATCCAGATAAGAAACATTAGGAATATCGCAGTCAATAATAGTTGAAGTGAGTTGGCATCATGGTGACTGGAGGTGGAKTTTTTCAGTTCGGAATTTTATTATTCCATCTTTTTAATGTAGTTTTTGACTTTGCAGATACATTGCAATGTTTCACCAGTTATTTTGTGGGGGGGAACCTTGTGTTTGCTACAACCCACTTCTGAAAACCCAACCATTTCTTGCTCGGAAGGCTGGATTCTCCACCTGTGAAGTTCCCATGCGGATTCAGGAGCTGTGGAGGACGGACCACCCCTCTTGGTGGTGAGATGTGAAGGACCAAGGTGGGATGTGAAGGTGTCCTGTACCAGCAACTCCTCCTTTGCTGCAACCCAGCCCAGTCTGCGATGCCCAGCACGGCACAGGGGTACCCAGGCTTCATGGGGAGCATCTCCTGGCCATTCCTTTCTTCCTGTCTGCTCCTTCAGGAACTGAAGGTGTTGGAAAAGCCCTTGCATCTGAACAAGATTTATTGATGTCAATTGGAACAGAGAAAATTCTGGTAAAAATGACTCATCCTTGCCCATATTAGTAAGAGAAGGAATGTTCTGGAATAGAAAAAAGAGAATAGCCAGCTTATTGGAAAGTACCAAACACAATCTTGCAGTTGCCCCGTGAGCAATCTTCAACTTTTTTACTTTGCCATTGCCTCCCTAAAGCAATGTAGAATCAGTCTGCACTGAGAACCAAGGCGGGGGCTCCCAGGAAGGTGCCAACGGAGCAGGGCGATAGCAAGGGGAGCAAGGGGAGCAAGGAAGAGGCCAGGCCTGGCTGCCACCACGGGGCAGCACCTGCTTCCAGGGACTAATCCAGTCCATTGTCTGGAAAGCCATTTCCACAGCCCTGGATTTCATCTTTTCTTCTTTTTTTTCTTCTTTTTTTTTTTTTTCCCTTATATTACTGGCTGTTTTGGAAGTCTGAACTTTAATAGTGCAGTAAAGCAAAGCCCTGTCGGAACATTTTATCCCTATCAGCTGACACTGTGACATTGTATGCATGGAAGAATTCCCTAAAACAGCTGTATTTGACTGTGATATCTGAGTGTTTTCTTTCTCCCCTGAGTTAAAGCGTGAAATAGGTGTTCCTCAGTTCTGCATTTTTTTGRTGAAAACGCAGTGTTTGGACCCCATCCTGAGAATTCATGCCAGGAAACAGACTCTGCCTGAATGAACAGACTTTGCCACCTTTCTTTAGCAGCCCAGAGGAAAACAAAGATATATTGTATGTGCTGCTCTGACATTTCATTTTTTCCCTTGTATTGTGTATCATCACCAACCTTGTTCCCAGAGTCCCAGTCTGTGAATGAGTCCCAAGACATSGTCTCAGCACAGGAAATGTGATAGCACCTTGCAGCCAGCCACAAAATAGTTCAAACCAAATATGTATTTAAGTGCTTTCATGCACCTCCACAGAGACCTTTCTCCAATCTTATTCCAAAGATCTTTCAGTTCCCCTTCAGGAACCCAACGGCAGTTTATCAATAAGCAGCACRGTCACGAGGTCTTGTGAAGATGCACATATTCCACCTACAGCCCTGTGTACAGGCCGTGCCGGAGGAGCCTTCGCTGCAATCTCACTTTGCCCTCTAGTGCCCACTCTGCTGCTTCCCGCACCGCAGAGCGCTGCCTTCATGGAGATGCCGCCAGCCACAGCAGTGCTTGGTGGTGAGACTGCAGACCATGACCCAAGACAGGCTGGGCACCACGGCGAGCTGAGAGGAGATCTCCGCGGGCTGAGAGTTCCTCAGCAGATCACTGGGCCGTCAATTAGTGTCTTCTMCAGAAGAAAACCCTGGGATTTCTCRGTAGAGTGTGGTGAAAATATTTCTTGCTGTTTCCAAGTGCCATTAAAAATGGGGCCCTTTCAAACATAGTTTACTGCATTGTGGAGCCACCTGGAATAGCAGAACCCAAAAGCCAAGTAGTCTGAAAGTACTTTTATTGTACACGTTTGGAAAAAGTCAACAGGCCAACAATCAACAGAAATCAGGTTTGAAACAGTTCACAGCGGGGCCCTTKCAAGTGCTGTTAGCTGCAAAGCGCGAGGAACACACATTTGGCTCTCACCACACAGGAAACAGCTCCCATGCTTTGCTTGGTCCTTGTGGTCTTTTCCGGCATTCCAGATTGCAGGAAACCTGCTACTTGGTCATACTGCTGCTGTTTTAGCTTCGGACCTGACTCCCTTAGCTCTTGTGGTGCCATTGAGCTTGCATCAATGAYCGGAGGAGAGCCTCTGTGAACCCTGCAAAAGAGATCTGAGCTCAGGAGCAGCACCTTGGCCCACTGAGCCCACTGGTGCCCTCCTGACGGCCCATCATCCTGGCACTGGTGGGTCTCCAGCTGCCCCTGAAAGCTACTGCTTCGTGTGGCTGGGATCAGCTTTCATGCTCCTGGCCAGAGGTCAAAAAAACCGCAAGAAGATGTTGAAAATGTCTAGCAATCACAGGTTCCTCTCTCAGGAACCTCTATGCCTGTGYTTAATGCCAATGAGGTACCATGCCYTTTCTTCCACCACTTTTCCAGTGGACTGAAGGCCCCTGCCCTGTGCTGAGCACAGAAAACAGCTCTTTAATTAGCTTAGCAACACAGCCAGGCTGAAACTCTGTTTTCTCCCTTGCTAATATACAGCAAGTAACTAGGGAAAAAACAAGCTTTTGAAACGGAGTTACCCAGGGACACTTCCCAAGGGTAAAATCCTGGCTTGGCCTCACAGAAAAAAAATTGATTTTTCCCCCCACTATAAACAGGTTGTTTTGAACTATATGATTACCTCATAAATATTATTATTCAAGGCTGAATGTGTGATTGTATTATTTGGAGCTAATTGTGTGGTTTTKGGGGATATTTGCTGGAATATCAAGGGGTAAAACTTTCTGCAGATTAATCTGCGAGCAATGGGAGAGAGGCAAAAGATTTCAGACAGCAACGAAACTCATCACTGAATGACGATGATTGAGATCATAGCAGCCAGGACAAACACCTCTATAAGCAAGTAACTTTAGGGTACTCTTAGTTTCAGAAGTTATTTCAGATTGAGACAGAAATTAAAGCAATAATAGGAAACAAGGGAGGAAACAAAGGAAGAAAGAAAGAAAGCAGAAAGGAAGAAATAAAAAGAAAGGAAAAGAAAGAAAAAGAAAGGAAAAGAAAGGAAAAGAAAGAAAAAGAAAGAAAATCTTTTCTCTGTAAAGTTAGAACAAGGAAAGTTACTTTAATTAGAAGCATCATTATTGAGCTGAGTTATTGCAGAAGTTACAGCTATTACAAATAACTTCCTACGCAGACAAATCCTTCTAGGATGACTTTACCTCCTTGAACAAATGTCAGAATGGATTGAATGTAAGAACAAATCCATCCATGGAAAAGAGCATACCTTGATAGCTATAAACCTAAACCAGGACCATTAAAATAARAACTATGCTACTTTATTTTTGATTAGGCTCAATAAGTGCAAATCTGCTAATGCTTGTAATGTGATAGATTTGTAGCCCATTCACTAGTAAAAGTTCCTCCCTATACAAATGAAATAGAGATAATAAGAACATCATTTCTCATAGCATAGAAAATGCTATATGATAACACAATAGCCCATGTGGGAAAAAAGAACTTTACTGGTATTATAGATTATTTTATGGGTAATATGTGGACCTTGTTTACCAAGAATTTACTGATGCTGAATAATACATTATATATTCAATAACCTCCATTAGTGGCATAATTAAATAAATAAAATAATTTTAATCCAATCAAAATTAACTAGAAGAATTTTCACAAGCCAGAGTATGGTGGAAATGTATAAATATTTATATATATATATATAAAAAATAATAATTTTAAAGTCGAAATGTGCCAGCCAAAATATTTTTTTACCTCAATTGTTAAGCCTCCTTGTGACTTTCTCAACAAGTTGAAGACATCTCCTCATTTCTGCACGGCTGACCTCCCAGGAGCACCGGCTGTGCTGTCTGTCCTTAAGAAAGCAGTCTATCTGCTGGAAATACCTTTTCAGCTGGAGCCTGCTGGGTTCTCTGCGCCAGGAGCGGTGGGTCCTCTTCTCGGTTGCACAAGCCTCCACTTGCTCAATCTGCTGGTAAAGCCCATTCTGGAAGAGCTCAAGGGCTCGCCCATCCCACTCAGCTAGTGTCAGGTTCTTGCTGAAGATGTAGAAGATGTGTTGGAAGATCTCTTCAATGGCCATCTTCATGGTCTCCCTCTGCCTGGGCTTCAGGACCTGCTTGGGGAACCTGAAGGAGGTTTTCTCCCTTAGGCATTGCCGAGGAAACTTTTCTCCCATTTTGTCCAAAAGTCGCAGGCTGCTCTCAATCACTTTGCTTTGCTGTAGACGAAGGTGATTACAGTGAAGACTTGTGATTTTGGTGGTACATGACAGAATAAGACCGACTTGTAGCAAGCAAAAAGAGCTCATGGTAAAGGTAAGTCCTGATGTGCCTCCGTTCCCCCTGAGAGGCAGGCTGGAATGCAGTGAAGGTCTTTCGTAGGCTCCTGTCTTTCTTCAAAACCTTTCATTTAATTATTCGCTAGGAGAAGTTTCTTTCATCATTTTTTGGTTTTTAAGGTTTTCCCCCTTGTGCATGATTTTGACACTTACCACTTTCATTTTCTGCTTTATGACTTCATTGTCTTCTTTTTTTTGCCACGTACTTTTTATAATAGCAGAACATGAAAATGTTAMGTATATCTTATTTATCTTAGATTACCTGTTCCCTCTTCCTCAAGAATTCTATCATCAGTATACTGAAAATTTAAAATAAAAATTTACAAAAATATCCTTAGTTTCTCAATATTTTAGAAGTGAGAGGACATGCTGACATAGAGTAACAATTTCAATGAAGGGCTAGGAACTGGCATCCTGTCCTCTCATTAAGATTTATACTTGAAAAATTTTGTTAAGTACTTACTAGTACTTAACTTATTAGTAACTAGTAATTTAGTTAGTACTTATTTTAATTTGAGGAGAATATTTTCCTTTTTTTTTTCTTGTCCATGTCTTTTCCAACTCCAAGGACAGACTTCATATCACTGAAATAGATATATATGTGTGTGTGCATATAAATATGCACATGGGTATTACAATATGCCTGTATTTACAGTATTAGGCAAGTGGAGCCCTCCATCTCACTTACAGACTGTAAGTAAGTGCCATGCCAATACAAATACTCACATGGGAACAAATTAGATCCTTAGAGGAAGTACCTTGTATTTTCCCCATTTGAGTAACTGAGGAAAAACTGATGTCAATGCCAGTAAAGTTCAGCAGTAAAGATCTGAATTTTCAAGTCAAATGGAGAGGGAATAAAGAAAGATGACAAAAAAAATCCTCTAAAATTCAACCATTTGTCTAACCATATAATAGAAGAGGTCAGGAGTATCACAGTATAATTAGTTGGGAAATTTGCCACCTGTCAAATGCTCCGAATGGCTGCAAAAAAACGTAGGGTAGTCTTGGCTTTGCTTCAACAAAACACTTTGGTATAAATTTCCAGTCTTTCTCTTTTGATGACAACTAGGCTTGAATTATCTATTTTTGTTTCTGTCTTCCTATCCTTCAGTGCAAACAAATCTCACTGCAAAGTGATTCTCTGAATGTGCTTATGTCTTGGCAAAGGAATCAGAGAAACTGCTCACTCAGTTTGAGATCTGGCTGTGTATTTTCATGCAGTTGCTGCAGTGCCACCCATTGCTATGTGGTTGACTTCATTCCCAGTTCAGTAGTGACTCTGACCAGATTTATGGTACTATTTTCAGGYTTTCTTTGTGTTCCAGAAATAGGTATTTTGAGGCATTAAAAATTTCTGAAATTAACTGAGCGTGGTAATTCACATGACCAAACTCTTTGGATGTGCCAACATTGCTGCTAGTTTAAGGAACAAGCAAATCCCCGATGTTTTCTTTGGAATGGCAGTATTAACTAAAAGCTCAAAGTCATTCAGACTTATAAAATGAAAAATATAATCTAAATCTTTTCATTTATTGGGAATACTTGATATTTTGGAAAAACGAGTCTGAAAACTTTTACTGCCAATAGATACAAAATGACCATGGAAATGCTACCTTATGCAAAAATACAGCTGTAGAAAGTGAGAGAATAAACAGTGCTACGGGTTCTTTCCTTAACTTATACACCACTAACTTTTTTTTTTTTCCCTGAGCTGTAGTCATTAGGTTATCCTAAACCTTCTAAGAATGTTAAGTAAACAAATTTCTTTATGCCTGTTATACCTCTCAGACATATATAAATATATATATATATATWTWTTTCTTTCTTTTCAAATATATGTTTTCTTTGCAAGCTTTCATCTCATCTCGGAACTGTAGACAACGTCCAGTCACCTTGGATGTAACAAGCATGACAGATCTGATACAAGGGAAGATACAAATAAATTTGTTACAGAATTTCTTACAAAAGCAGTTTTGCTGTCTTTTCTGTGTAAATCAACATGTTGTCCACAATTCCTCACAGCAATTTTATTTGCTTTATTTTGTTAKGTTTTATTTTATTTTATAACATGACATTCTTCCTTACTCAGCCAATTTCTTGTCTTTTGCATTGAGAAAAGCATGACATTGCATAACTCATGGCATGGTCTCTTTTATTCATAGATCTTCATTCAGAAATGAACAACTCATTAAAAGACACTGTTGGAGGAGGCAACCCAGGGTGCTGAGACTGCAGTGCAAGTCTCTATTTCTACCTATCTGGCTGAAGCACAGAACAATGTAACCTAAAATAAAAGATGAAACAGGCTCAGAAGACACATCTGGATTTCCAAGCAGACCTAATAGATYACTGCTAGATCTACACAGCAGCAAACAGAGCAGAGCTTGGGAACATTCCTACAAAATAGCAAAAGGACTGTGTGTCCTCCACACGTTACCCAGCCCATGCTAAATCACTTAACACAATCTTACRTCAGCTTTCTCAGACCAAAACAACAGCCTTTCTCAACATTTGATCTACTCTAGCTATCAGCTTCCTTTTCCTTTARTTCACTCAAGACATCATGATTTAACAAGTCAGCATGTCACTGAAGAGTCCAAACAGGTCCAACTTGTGATCCCRTAAATTACCTATCTCCACACTCAATGGGACAGATCTTACTTGTGTTAAATGCAAATCACTGTTCTCCACTGTTWTTCATCTGCCTTCTGCATGTGAATTCTCTCTTTCTCACTATTTTTAAGCAAAAACATAAAATACAAACAAGACTGGGTTYTTTATTCTTTTTCTAAGAGGACAAGGATGACCAGATTCAGACCTCATGCTGCAGTGGGCAAAAGGCAGGGGCAGTCAGAGGTGCAAACATACTGGGCAGAAGTGGGAGCATCTAATTGTTACACAACTAAAACCACACCACAAGGCCATCATATGAGACTGAGAAAATAACGAAATGTTCACCTAAAAAAAAATTACTAAAAATTTACCACATGAAGAAGAGTATTTTAATCACTTTTAAACATTTAAAATACATTTTTGAGACATTTATAGGTTTGCAATTAGAGAGGCAATTATGGGAGATGAACCACTTTGGTGTTCAGAACAAGCAGATTTGACAGCATGCTGTAAAGTTCACGGGTGGATTTCTCACCTCTCTAGCATTGCAGGGGTATCTGATGCCAGCTGATATCTCCTTTGGAGAGAGACATCCAAACATGGAAGCCRGGCTGTCTTTATGGAAGTGAAGGGCAGGGAGGCTTCCCTGCATGGTGTCCAAAGTGTCAGGGCCACCTTGGATCGTCAGTCCTTGAAGACTGTGACTTGCCTCTTGGCTATGGAGACAGAGGCTGTGGTGGCCAGTTCTCTATGCACTTCACTGCCTGCCAGCTCTCAGGTAGGAAGCGCAGATTTACAGCTGCTCCATCAGCCAGGCTTTCCCAGAAACACCAGAAGGGTTCAGTAAGTGGTAGCAAGGCCATGCCCTGTGATACTGCTTCAACGTGGGCTCTCTCCTGCACCATGTGCTCCAAGTGAAAGGGAGCACCACAAGGGAAGGGAGCACCCAATGGGCCAGCATCCTCGGGAGATGGCTGCACATACTTCACTGCCTCACCTAAGGGTCCTCTGGCTCTACTTTCATTCCCAGGTCTCATCTCCCACCCAGCTTTTCAGGTAGCAGGGTGGACAGAGGAACYCTTGCCCCAGATCGTCTCCAGTTGGGAATGCAGCTCCTCCAGCCTCCAGAACTCATGGACACTGCTCCAGCACTGTGGCTGAAGTCAAAGTACAGCCAGAGATGGGATGGTGTGGGGTGATGGTAAGATGAGTCCATGGCGATGAGATGAGTCCATGTGATTGCAAGGGGCAAAGTCCAGGTTATTGTCTTCACAYTAATAAAAACATACCTACTTCACAAGGGGGTTGTATCGTGTGGACCTTCAAATGTCCATGAATATAGAAAGGCATCCAACACGAACTTTTTGTCATGTTATTAATTTTATTGCCAAATTAGAAGAGGTATCTGAGCACAAAAAGACATTTCATAGAGGGATCTCATCCCAATTCTGAAAGCCACCAAGTAGAAGGATGTGGGCACAGATGAAAACATCATCTACAGACCCATCTGTGGACTTAGGCAATGCCCATTCCTTGAAGAAATTTGCCAGTTGACAACATTTAGAACTTACAAAGATGAATGAGACAATACCTGAAGACCTTGACTGTATGTGTCCATCCCCTTGAGTAGCCTAATGCCTGCAGTAAGTGCAGTGGAACGACAGAGGCTTGGCATTCTCAGTGATCAGGCTTGGTGTTCATACAAGGATCAAGGGGTCAGTTAGGTGTCCCCTATGACTGGGCATTTGGAGGACAGGACAGGTCCAAATGCAGTCTCCATTTTAACCTTTATGGGCTGTCTTCTCCTCGCCAAGAATGGCACTGACTGGGTCGGCTGTTAGCTGTGACATGGAGTTCATCTGCATGCCCTCAGACTCCCTTGGAAGGACACAGTTGATACAGTATGGCAGCTGACAAAGATTTGGCTGTTTGGGGGGAGTTATTTAGTCAATATTTACATGATGTCTGCTCTGTATATGTCKCATACAGCTGGAACAGAAAGTTGTTTAGAAGATGTCAGGGTCCTGAGAACCTTCAATGTCCTTCAGATGCTGGCAGAGGCACAGGCCATTGGAGTCAGCACACCCATTCACTGCTTCTTTTCCAAGGTCATCCTTGTTGCATGACSAGTTGCATGGCCAGCCCATGGCCACTCTGTAAGGGTTCCCACAGCAGAAGTCTGCTTCCTGGGATCAGACTGTTCAGACAGTTCAGACTGTTTGACATGGGATCAGACTGTTCAGAACACAGAGAGGATAAATGCCCAGTCTGGTTGCAGAGGAAGAGGCTCTGTACTTCAGAGAATCCTATACAGGACCTTTCCTMGATGAGCTGTCACATATCCTTGGTTTAGC